CTTTCTTTTATTTTGTTACTAATTTTTTCTTTATACGTTAAATCCAGAAATTCATCAACCTCTTTATTTTCCAATAATTTAGTTTCTGTGCAAATAGATAATGCAGATTCTGAGCTTTTCTCAATTTCACTGAGATTAGATATAAGGAGGCTAACAAATATTAGCTCATTATACCCCCCAGGATTTTTACTTAGTTCCATTCAGAGTCAGTTATTTGATACAGTAAAACTTACAAAAAATGTATAATTAGGTTTTTGACAGTTAATAATATAAACTGTCAAAAATCTAATTATGTATTTTTTATAAGTTTTACTGTATCAAATAACTGACTCTGAATGGAACTAAGTAAAAATCACGGGGGGTATAATAAGCTAATATTTGTTAATCCCCTAACAGAATTGATATTTACTATACTTCTTGTTGAGAAATTACAAGTAACTCTGAACAAGCTGGGGTGGCAAAATATCTTTTGTAGGAGATGCTTCCTTTTCATTAGTAATAACCTAGATTCATTTTTATTCTAATTTGGTAACTTTGTTTTTAAGCTTAATATTTTTAGCAATAAGAATAGCAGAATCTATTTTATTTTTCCTTTCTAGCTCTTCAAACCTATTTTAAACCCAGTACTCTCTTCTACAATATGTCTTAGCTTCACGTTTTTAGCTTCAATCTTAGTATATTTTTTTCTAAGTTCACTAATTTTGGCTATGAGCTTAAAATTTTGTTTTTCTAATAAATCAATTTTAGATTGTGTATTTGCCATTGTATTTATATAAGATAGAGAAATATTCAAAAGCTTAATAAAAATTATATGAGTACTTAAAAAAATTATCAATCACCTCATGAACTCAGTTCACAAAGAATTCACTTTCTCAAAAATTAGATAAAAATTCTCGATTATATATACATGAAAACATTAGAATAATCCCAAAAAATACACATATGATTATGTGTACAAAATCTGCCACCAGAGCTATCTTTATTAATATAATAAATCCTGAAATATATATGCAAAAGTAAACTGATTATTTATGTAAAATAGGCCACCAGGGCCAGCTTTATTAATATAGAAATAAAATAAATTACAGAGATAAAAATACATATTTTTAGAAATTTTTTTATCTGATTTAAGAATTTCTTGGTGGAGAATATGTTGTTAATATTATCAATGTTTATGGAGTTCACTCTCCACATGTTGGTAGAAAATTGATCTCATCTTTATACTTACCGACATTCTGACAATCTCTTCAACTATAGCTCTTAATTAAAGGCTACCCCTTAAAAATTCCTCAACAATCTGATGCATGGAAATTTATAAAAGTATAGAAATCTCACAAGTTTGATAAATCCAATAAAAAACACCTTCAAATAAATCTATTATAAAAATGATTATATGTTCTTCTATCATCTAGATTTCTAAGACAGGAATTTTTCTCAATTCACAATGTATTAACCTTGTCTCAGAAAAACTGTCCTTTCTATTTTTAAAAAAAATATTATAATATTCATTAAAACAATCCTTACAAATATAAACTAGCTTTTTCTAATCTAAAACTTCTTTATCTTGTTCTGGAAATAAGCATGAAATCTCCACTAGAACCAACTCATTTGTCTTTATATCTAACCTAAAGGTTGAGTTTTTTTTCTAAATTAATAGAACCTATTCGATTTTTTCTACTCTGTGAAGATTTGCTTGTTTGTTCAGACCATGCTTGCCTTAGAGACCATTTAAAGTATGTAAAAAGCAGATCCAGTACTTTGGATACCATATAAATTACGTAAGAATTCTCTCTATAATCTTCTTCTGTTAGTAATGGTCTACAACTCCAAATGTGATGCCTAAAGTAAAAAAATAGTAAGTTATAACCGATATAAGAATACTTGCAATTTCATATTAACTTACAATCCTTCTAATAAATCAAAAGTTATCATTAAAATGTATCTAGTTCCAAGTGTCATTTCTCTATAAGAAAAGCTTATAGGTTGCATTAAAGCCAAATTGAAATCAGTTCTTAGTTCGCTATATGAACTTACAAATTCATCCAACATTGCACTAATTTGGTTAAGAAATTCATTATTACAGAATGAATGTCTTGATAAACTTGTTTCATTTCCAAAGTTTGTAGCTTTGTAAATATGTCTTCACTCTCTGTAATACCAATTACTTCCAATACTATTGGAATATCTAGCTCTATAGTTCCCAAATCTAAGTGTTGCAAAATATTAAATAGTTCAGTATATACACTTAAGCTTTCTTTCGAGCATTTGCCATATATTTTAGCATTCTAAATAATTAATCTTTTATTAGAAAGGCTAGCAATGTTAATATTTGAGCCAAAAAATTCAAATATAATAATTACTTACATATCCACCAATTAATAAAATTAATATTATTTCGAATTATAGTTAGGTTTTGTTCTTGTTCCTCCAATTGATGCTAGAATAAAATATTTTAGTTACTTCTTATATCAGTAGCTAATTTATAGCAAAAATTCATCATAATTTGCGAATTTTTTCTTTTTTAACCTCCCAAGCATTTTTATAAATTTTTTGATGTTGTGACTGAAATAAAAAAATTGTTTAGTATACTAATCTCATAAATAAACACTTCTTATTATTTAATACTAAAAAATCAATTGGTGCTAAGTTTGTTCATTTTTCATATTTTTTTATGAGATTCATGCCCACGAATGACAATGAAATACACAAAAGCATTGCCTGTATCATACTTAGTATAGAATAAACCTATACTAGATGACAAATTTCCTGCACTGTACCCTTTGATGCTTACAGTACTAGTATTTTGTAAACTAAGACATATGCTTAATTTTTGTTTGTGCACATCTGGATACAGATAACAACATAGGCATATGTTGTTTTCTTCCTACTCTTTTATATATAGTAATTTATCATTTTTTTCAGGGAATATATCTAATTATTTTTTATTACATATCTTTGGCATAGTGTCAAATTGTAATAAAATATCTTCTAGTTTACATTTATTTTTCAAACTGCTTCTATTATATAATTTTATATCTTCCTCAAATTCATGACGATATTGAGTCTCTGCTCCATTAAGATTAGTCTTCCTTAAAACTTTAACACTCAGTAAATAGATGCTTGGAATCCATTTTCTAAAGTACAACTCCCGGGCTTGTTAATTACAGTTGCGGTAAAAATAATTTTTGGTATTATCAAACATTTTAGATAAATTTGGTTAGTAAAATATATAAGTATAAAAATCAAACAGAATCACTATAAAGCAACAAACTTCTATATTTTTGTTATACTCCCCTTTATAAATGGATTTCACTCATCTCTGAATGGCAATACAAATGGCAAAACAATAACGAAAAGAAAACTACATGTATTTACACCAATTTTTTACTTTATATTACACTATGTTGGTTATAGAGTAACTCTTAGACATGTAGAATGCATGTTGGAGGTTTCGAGATCTTTGGCATTACGGTGTAGAAAAAGATCACTTCCACCAAACAACTTAGTAGATCCTTTATTTTTTATTATAAAAACTATAAAAATAGAAATATATATGTTTTGGTTAGAATGAATAAATTTTTGTATCGGCTTTGAAGTAGATTTAAAGCTTGGGTATTATTTTTCTATAAATGTTGAAAAAATAAAATTCACAATAAGATTTGGTTGCACAGATAACATATGTGTTATAAGATAATTGTCTGAATTTGGGTCAGGGTACTAATTCAAGAAAATTTTAAAAATGATACTTTGTGCTTTTACTCGTTCTATACAAGTTATGCATAATGCAGTAATGATAAGCCTTGTAAGGTATAGTACAGATAAATTTATATGCATGTGAAATTTACACGTAATGAATTTTCACATTGTATAATAATAACAATAATATAAGGTATAAATTTATATACGAAATTTATTCTAACACATTAAGGGGCATGCCATTTATCACGTAATTTTTACCATGGATACATGGTAGAGGTAGTGATCACGTCTATATATGATATTAACCAATCAAAATTAGATAAAGTGATCACACCATACATGGATAGGGGTGGCTACTAAGTAAAAAATATCACATGATAAATGGCACGCCCCTAATGAACAATAAGGTATACAAACCTGCAATTAGTTGATACTCAATATTGCTACCATTATGTAATATCAATAATGTAGTACATATATAAGTAAAATTCATTTTCCTGTTGATCTTTCTGATAATATAGATTTAAACAAATAATTTTTTGTTATTTCAACAGATCAACCACCTATACTAGATATATTGTAAAAGTCAAAATGAACTATGGTAAATAAATTAATTCTTAGCAAATAAATATATTTAAAAATCAAATTATAAATAAAAGCTTTATTAATTTTGTAGATATATATGAAAATGGCCCAGGCCAGCTAAGTAGGAAATGAATATTGGAATAGTGGTTGTTTCAAGAGAGGAATTTTCCAGCCTTTTAAAGAGTACATAAACAATAAATATTTAATAAGTTACAAATAGCAAGACTAAAATTAGATATTGTTAAAAAAATCACATATAATAAAGAAGGTGAATATCTCTCTAAAAGATATATCAATAAAAAAACACTAATGCTTTGGAGATGCTCTAGAAATCATGAATGGACTGCACCTCTTACTAGAATACAATCATGGTGTTCACAATGTCCTGCAAATCACTCTACCCAAACTTAAACTATTGCAGATATGCAAATACTTGCAGAAAAAAAAGGAGATACTTGCCTTTCAACTGAATATATTAATAGATAGGATCCTCTTGAATGGCAGTGTATAAAAGGACATAAGTGGAAGGCTTCGGCTAAAGATATTATTAAAGGAACTTGGTGTCAACAGTGTCGATGTCTTAATATTGACATAGCAAATAGCATTGCAAAAGAACGTGGTAGTGAATGCCTTTCTACAGAATATTTGGTATCTATAAGTGGTCAAAACTTGACCAACATCGGTTCCACTTGATAAAATCCAGCGCTTGGTTCGACCTATAGTGTCTGGTTCATGTCTTCCACAATTTTTGAGTCTTCACCTGGGATGAGAACATCAATCAGCGCTTTATCATCCATTGTAACAGATGGGCCACCATCTCCATCTTCATTGTCTCCATCTTTATCGTCTTCATATTTATCGTCTTCCTCTTGATCGTCTTCCTCTTCAACTTCATCGTCTTCATCTTCATCGTTTTTCGCACCAAATTCCTTGTTAATGTCATCATCGTTTTGTAACTTTGCGAGATGAAGAGAGCTCAAATATTCTTTTTCTTTTCGTGTATGCCCGTCTAAAGTTTTTCTGTAAGAACTTTCTTCCTTTCTTTTCCAGAACTCTGTTATTTCAGAAGAGCTAACTATTTTCTTGGATAGAGAACAAATATACAAATCTTTGTGACGAGTTTTCGTCCGCTTTTACCTCCCAATGCATGCATACATACCGCAGAAGTCCTAATTTCGGCCTGAATTTTATTTAGCAACAGCTGACCGATTGATTTTTCATTAGAAAGTCTCGAGAGATGATTAAAGTAAAGTGTATGAACTAGTTGTTTTTCATGCAGTTGTAAATCTAGTTTAGAATCAAGCTGTCGAAGACAATTCACCTTTAGAAGCCGTTTTTCGATTCCAGTAGACTAAAATTCCTGCTTTGATTAGTTCTTTGCGATAATCTGAAGACATGGCACTTTAACGTGTAATTATATTCGAAATTTTGGAACTGAAAGTAAACGCGTATCAGATGATTATCATTTCTAGATGATTATTACATTCTTGGTGATACTAATGATGCAGACATTTCTCAAGGTAGTAACTACTTACGGCATTACGGCTATGACGTAGAGGTCGTACTACCCCGAGGCTATATTGCTGTGAGGTAGGTGCCGTAAGTGAGGTAGTGTGCCGTAAGTAATGTAGTATGTCGTATCCCAAAAAATTTCTCTGGCCAATCAACTTTTGAGAAATCAATATTAGACGACTTTTTTTTGATTGCCTAATACAAATTAATTGCCCGGGAACTTATACACTTACGTTCTATTTCACTAACAGCTAACAAAAAAATACCG